GCCAACCAGAGCCACCAGGATCCCGAGACTCCGAGTGGCCACGGCGCGGGCGCCGCTTCTCCCCCTCCCTCCCTGGCTCCCAAGCCTGGGAGGGAGGGGGAGCAGCGGCGCACGAAACGGCCACTCGGGATCTCCCCCTCCCTCCCAGGTTTGACAGCCGCCATGGCGCGTGAAACAGCTGATTCGCGTGCCGCTACTCGCCCTCCCTCCCAGGCTCTCAAGCTTGAGAGGTACCAAAAAAAAGCTTGAGAGCCTGGGAGGGAGGGTGAGTAGCGGTGCGCGAATCAGCTGTTTCGCGCGCCGTGGCAGCAGCAGCGGAGGTGAGTTAGGGCGGCCGGGGCACATTTTTAGGGGCGGCATTCTGGCGCCGGCCATGCCGCCCCTAAAAATGTGCCGCCTCAAGCACCAGCTTGTTTTGCTGGTGCCTAGAGCCGGCCCTGAGTACAGTTAGTTTATCCACTTTTTTTGGTACCACTACACCTCTGCAGTAGCCGGGTCCACATGAGAAACTTGCATCATGTGATGCTGTACCTACCCCATGAGGCATTGCACACCCTTCCCAAAGCACCCTGCAGCCAGTTGCGCAATGGCATAGCTCCCCACAGTGCACTGCTCTCTGTGTCGATGCAAGAGCTGCCAGCGTGGCTGCACTCTGCTGATACAAGAAGAACAGTGTGGACATGCAACAGCCATTTAATTAACGCACTTTAATTAAAGCGGCATTACCTTTGTCAACAAAACTCTGTAGTGCGGACATAGCCTTAGTGCTGGGTAGACTAGAGCTAGATTTACCTCTCACTAAATCGCTGTATAGACAAGCCGTATCTCAGCTGCCATGAAAATCTGTGTTGTTAACCTTTTGGATTAGCGTTGCTATCGATTATTTACATATCAGGAGTTCTCATAGAGACCTGTCTGGTTTTGGCCTCCATTTGATCTTCTCTTCGTGCTGTTACCACAGCAACTAATACTTGAATGAAAATCTCTTAGCAAGCTAGTTCTTCAGATTGTCTCATCCGGTAGGGATACAATGGAAGTGGGGGCTCGAGGCAGATCTGAGAACCACTTATCTACATCTTTGTTAAAGAAGGTTTCAGTGTTGTTGTTCTGTTTCTCCTTTTGACAAGATAAGCATCAGCACTTCACTTTTCTTTACTAAACAATACTCCCTAGGTCTATGTCTCAGTAATGATCTTGTTGTTAAGCCTGCCGTGTAGACTAAATAGCTCTAAAAAGTTTGCTTTCTACATTAAATTTCTAAATCACATACAATTTGGATATTTTGTTGTAAACATTACTCCAGAAAGTGATGGAATAGTGGCAAAATACCTTTGTGGAAACAAAAGATATTACAAACAGAGATAGCTCTGAGCTGTGAAAATCAAATACTGACTTCCTCAAAGTTGAAAAGGGTTCATATCCATCTTACAAAGCTTGACCCAAGTTGGGAAGTTGAATCAGGAATGAAGTTCTCCAAAGTCTGAGGGGATTCAGACATGGTGTTCCAGTTCTTTACAAGATATTTCAATACTGTGTAGGACTAGGTACAGGATCTAAGTATCAAGTTGTTTTGAGAAGGAAAAACATCTCAGTGTTTGTAGCAGAGAATATTAAATGGGCTAATTAAGCATGTGGTCTTCTCACTGCCAGTTGGCTGAACCGATGTGGGGTTTTACTTTTGTCTAGGGCCCTAACCAAATTCACGGTCCATTTTGGTCAATTTCACCGTCATAGGATTTTTAAAATAATACATGTAATGATTTCTGCTATTTAAATCTGAAATTTCACGGCATTGTAATTGTAGGGGTCCTGACCCAAAAAGGAGTTGGGGGGGGGTCACAAGGTTATTATAGGGGGGTTTGCGGTACTGCTACCCTTACTTCTGAGCTGCTGCTGGTGGTGGTGCTGCCTTCAGAGCTGCACAGCTGGAGAGAGGCAGCTGCTGGCCAGGAGCCCGTTCTGAAGGCAGAGCTGCCGCCAGCAACAGCGCAGAAGTAAGGATGGCATGGTATGGTATTGCCACCCTTACTTCTGTGCTGCTGCTGGTGGGGTGCTGCCTTCAGAGCTGGGCACCCAGCCAATAGCTGCCACTCTCCAGCCACACAGCTCTGAAGGCAGCACAAGAAGTAAGGGTGGCAATACCGCAACCCCCCTAAAATAACCTTGCAACTGTCCTGTAACGCCCTTTTGGGTCAGGACCCCCAATTTGAGAAACACTGGTCTCCCCTGTGAAATCTGTATAGTATAGGTAAAAGCACACAAAAGACCAGATTTCATGGTCCGTGATGCATTTTTCATGGCCATAAATTTGGTAGGGTCCTATCTATACAACATAATAAGACTGCAGGTGCTAAATTCTAGCTTTTTGGTTTTGCCTGAACACTAGTGTTATTTTGCATCTCTATTCAGGCTGGCTGCATGCCCTTACACACCTGCACAGATTAATTGTGCCAGGATCATGAGTAATTCAAGCAGGGAAGGGCGAGTTAGTGACTGCAGGCAAATGAGATACGGAGGTGGTGGGGTCTGCACCAGCATATGCCAACCACACCCTTAGTCCCCTCAGCCAAACCTGGTTGTTTTGAGTGGGTCCAGGATCAGGGTGCCACAGCTGAGCCCCTGTTTGTCTTTCTGGGGAATCATTATCCATAGCTCAATATCCTGTATTTGGCCTATTGTAGTATAGTTTAGAATATTGGGTGTCACATGAGTTATATGAGCAAGAAAGAAGGGTGCTAATGGGTACTATCCAGAGAGGTGGGGAGCATAGAACATAACCCCAAAACCAAAAACATGGACCAATATAGGTTTCAGCAAAACTTTTCCCCCTCTGTAGAACATGTATATGCTCTTTGGTACAAGAGCATGAATAAAACTAGGTGAAGCATTTGTAGCAAAAAAAAATATATCTTATTTGATTACATAAGACCTTTTTTCTACTTTTGAATAATTCATGAACGCACTTCAATTTCTAAGAATTTGTTATTCAAAATTAGCTAATGAATGTTTTATGCAAATATATTTCCACCTCAGGATTCTCCTCACAACTCTTCACTGAGGCTTTTGGTTTGAGTATTTGTAATTCAAGCTGTGTGACTGGTCACCTATCTCATGTGTTATTTTTTCTGCTCCCTTCCTGGATGACTGAACTTTTAAAAACAAGAATAGGGTTCAAATAAATCACTCAGGCTGTTCAATTAATGTCAAAATAACTACCCATAAACATTTCTGGGATGAACCTTTATTGTGAAAACTTTCACAAACTTATCAGATAATTTTTTGCCTTCTTCAAATATTCCTGTGAATAACAAAAAAAATCACCACTACAAATGCTGCAGAAAGCAACTTTAAAAGGGCCCAAGATGCTGAAGTGAATTGGAGGCTTTTATTTCAGTGACTGTTCAAGGATAATTTTTGCAGTACTGGACCTGCCTGAAGCACAAACACCACAGAGTGTACAAGGTCCAACTTCTGATTACACACACAAAGCCCTGCTAGCTGGACATTCGCCAGGCTTTTGTGTTTGGGGCCCACCTCAGTGGGCCAGTGTGCTCTTTAAGCCCCTTGAGTCTGAACAGAGTCCAGGCATTGCCTCTGGCTGAGGTTTCTAGGAAGAGGCTGCTCAAGAGAATCTGCTACCCAGCGGCGGCTCCAGGCACCAGCGCTCCAAGTGCATGCGTGAGGCAGCAAGCCGCAGGGGGCGCCCTGCCAGTCTCTGTGAGGGCAGCAGTCAGGCAGCCTTCGGCGGCATGCCTGTGGGAGGTCCGCTGGTCCTGCGGATTCGGCAGCAATTTGGCAGCGGGTACGCCGAAGCCGCGGGACCAGCGGACCTCCTGCAGGCATGCCGCCGAATCCGAGGGACCGGGGACCTCCCACAGGCAAGCCACCGAAGGTGGCCTGCCTGCCGTGCCTGGGGCGGCAAAAAAGCTAGAGCCGCCCCTGCTGCTACCATAGGCAAAACTTCAGTTTGCTGACACCCTCTTCATAAACTAGGGAGGCAGATTTGGCCTGGCCCCACCTCAGTCATGAGTGGTGGTGGGGCAGCCAGGCCAAAGTTGAGTGGCATTGCAACCTGGCATTTGGGGTCACAACACAACTCAACTTTGGCTCGTCTATCCCTCCATCATGAAAGGGGGTGGCCAAGCCAAATTGGAGTGAATGGCATTGTGACCTGGCAAACTAGGTTATAACCTCACTTAAATTGAGTCCAGCCACCCTTCTGTCACGATGGAGGGCTGTCTGGGACAAATCCTAGGCAGCTTCCCAGAAATCTGCCACCCTAGGCAGCTGCCTGTGTTTCTAAGCAGATCCTCTGTCTAGCACCCCCTCCTGAGAGCTGAGACCCCACAGTCCAACTGCCTAGATGCTGGGACTAATGTGACTCCTCAGACTTCCCATAGCTTAAACACATCCCCTCTCAGAATTGCAGGCTTGTGGGCAATCTGGGTTTACAATTTAACTCTTCAGGGGGATGTGATAGCGAAGCCAACAGACACACTGACTTTGCACAGAATTCTAAACAAAATTACTTCTTACTTAGCACAGATTGACAAAATAATAAAACACAACCATACACATTTCCCCACCTCAGGATCCGCATCCCTCTCTGGAGAGTTCTTTGGGCTTGGACAGGGTTCTCTGGGGTGTCCAGGATCCTTCTCTTGCGGCTCGTGGTTTCTCTTCAGAACCATGGAGCCTCTCTCTCTGTCTTGGTCAGCTAGCTTTCTCTGACCTTGGTTGATTCCCCCACTTAAAAGGGACACCCCTGTAACAAAAGCAAGCTCCTTTCTTCTGCCCAAAGCTTCCCCTAACAAAACCTGGTTTCTTTGTTCTACTGCTGGAGATTTTCCACTAACCTCACTATTTAATAGCTAGGTATGATTATGATTATTAAAGTCTGAGTAAGATCTTCAGAATTTGGCTCAAATTCTAAAAGAAGAGAATAGCAAAATCCTAATTCCACTCCCTCTGTCAGGTGGAAAAATACTCCAAATAAATAGGAAAACATTATTAAGGAATAAATACAGCAAAAAACTACTGAGTTAAAGTTAAGCAAGTATTTTAGGATACGACCCTTCACTTATAGTGATTCACTTAATAATAGACATAGTACGAGTCCCATTATGAATAATACCATCAGATACCATCTCATGTTTATATCTTTTCATCAGCAATGAAACCATCACCCACAACTTCCAATCTGTGATGACAGAGAACTATTATTCCTTTGTTTTTTAATGAATCTTACCTGGCTTTTTCTCATTTTTCTCCAACAGCTCCACTGGGCCTTCTTCAATATGAACATCAAAGACATTTACAGCTCCAGAATGCAGGCCAAGGAACAGTGAACTGTTCTGAAACTCCAAAAATCTAAAATTATTTTAATTGTTGGCATTTACAGGTTCCCTGCCCTCATTTACTAATGGGCTTGTTTTTAACTCTTCCAGCTGGGTGACTGAAGACACGTGCCTTGTAGAAATAAACAGGGAACATGGGATTTGTTATACCGAATCAGAGCAACAGTCTCTCTAGTGCAATAGCCTATCATCAACAGTGGCCAGTACCAGAAGCCTCGAAGGAGGTGCCAGAAACCTAGCAATAAGCAGTTAAATAATAAATAATAAAGTAACAACAACAATCCCCTCAACGATGTATTATATATTTATACCCGCTGATAATCCACAGTTATTCTTGATACTCACAATCCTGGTGAAAACCATGGTTTCATTCGAGATATTGATCTGGTGAAGCAACTGCAGGGCAGGTAAACTCCAGATCTGCACCAATTTGTATTCCAATTCCTGGCACATATTTATCAGTTGATGGTGATCTATATCATGTTTTAATTCAATTACCTAAAACAGTGATTGCTGGTCTTTAATAGGGGCTATTCCTCCGAAGACACATACTTGATAGATAAACCAATCAATACACAAGTCTGGACCAGAGCCCTGCAGTGGGACTGGGATCCCATGGGTCCCTCAGGACCGGCTGCCATAATAGCTGGAGCGGGTAAAATTTACTTTGTTGCAAGTGGGGGGTGGGGTGGGGAGAAGGGGGAACAGACTGGTAATTTGCAGGAAAATACTAAATCTTTTTTAATAAAGGTTTTAATATGTACGTGTAAGCAAGAGATAGAAAGAGATTTGATGTCTATTATAACAGGCGTTAAAGTATTTTTACATGGGGTAAGCAAGTTTTGTTTTATTCTTTTAGTGGTATAAATTATGTCCGAATTCCATTTATATATATCAACTAACCATTTGTTTTTTTAGTAGCACTGGGAAATCGGTATCTCTTGCGGGATTTGCGGATCTAAGGTTTTTGCAGGTGGGAGAGGGATAAAAGTGCAAGAAACAATGCGGGAGAGGGTGGGAGTGTGATAATGGGGGGCTGGACGGGAGTAGGATTAAAAAAATAGTCCCGCGCAGGCTCTAGTCTGGACCATATTACCATATAAAGTAAAGCAATGTTAATTTGCATTTGTTACTACTTCCCATCTCATCCCTTTGCTCTGCCAATGAACCCTGCCTCACTACTTCCTTTCTATCCTCCCTCTCATCTTCATTTCTGCCTCAGAGTCCCCTATTCCTGGAATTCTCTTCCTATCCTAATGCAAAAGGCTCAGCCTCCCTCTCTTTTTTTTAAATTGCTCCTCAAAACTTGCTTTTTCCACAAAGGCTACAAACACTAATTCCTCCTACCCACTATATATTCAATACATATCTACTTACACTGTAAGTTCCTAAGGCCAGGAACCTTTCTTCTGTGCCTTATACAGTGTTTGTCATTTCATATGCTGGCACTGTTGGCCAGATTGGGGTGACACATCTACAGCATTACTCTGCTATAATTACCAGTTAAGTATGCCAGCAGGGGACTGGGTATCTGCTTAAACCCTTCTTGACAAGGGAAAAACAGAGGGATGGAAGAATTAGTATAGAATTTGTGTACAGGACTCAATGACGCATCTAGAAATCCTAGCTGAAACTACAACAATTTGTAATAATGACTCAATTTGTGAAGTTTGTAATAATGACTCAATTTACCCACGAAAGCTTATGCCCAAATAAATCTGTTAGTCTTTAAGGTGCCACCAGACTCCTTGTTCAATTTGTGAGTGATATATTGAAATGTATGTAAGTAACGTAGCTCCCTTGAGAAGATTCCAAACTGTGAAAAGCTCTTGAACTCCTTTGTATTTGAGAGTGAAGTTGCTCTGCCTTTGGAAATAGTGGACCAAATTCAGCACACTTACTTCACTGAGGTTAATGGAGCTACTTTGCATTTACACCAATATTTCTGAGTCAGAATCTGGTGAATTACCTGTGCAAGAATAGCCAGAATTATTCTATAAGGCTGTGTGTGTGGTAGGTTACATTTCTGAAGCAAGACAACTGATTGGTCTGTACATTCGATACTAAGGACAGTCATCGTACAAGAGAAGAGATAGTTTCTTACTTTGATATCTAGCCTTATCCAGCTATGTATGTTTTGTTATGAAACTCTTTTAATAAAAGAAAGGCTGTAAATCCAAAGTACACTTACAGGATCTTTATAGGCCTTCATCTCATAATATACTAGATTTTGTATTGAGGTGTGCAGAAACAGGATTCTTCCATCCTATTCAAAGAGAATTGCATTATACTCGCACAGATGAAAAAACAGACCATACTATCAAAGTAACACATTGCACATGTAAATCTGAAAAACTAGACCAAGGCCATGTTGGCAAAACTAACACAACTGGAAAAAACAGTGAACAGAAAACACTTCATTCTGCATGCTCATTTCCTAATGACTGTTAATATAATATAACCAATCTTTTACAATGCAGCTTTTCAATGGGTCACATCTTGTCAATCAGTGATGTAACACCTGCATGTAATGATCTTCCATTACTAAAAAACAGGCCACAGAATCTAAATTGTATCACACATCAGCAGTTGCAGACATTCCACCTATTCCCCTTCCACTGGCCACCTTGCTTAATATACACCTTTACCCCGATATAATGCGACCTGATATAACGTGGGTTCGCATATAGTGCAGTAACCCTGGGGCTCCAGCAGCGGGACTTGGGCGGCGCTTTAAAGGGCCCACGGCTCCGGCTGCTGCGGGGAGCCCCGGGCCCTTTAAATCACCGCTGGAGCCCTGCCGCCGCTACCCTGGAGCTGCAGCAGTGGGGCTTGGCCGGCGATTTAAAGGGTCCGGGCTCCCAGCAGTGGCTGGAGCCTGGGGCTCTTTAAATCACCGATGGAGCCCTGCCCCCACTACCCTGATATAACGAGGTTTCACCTATAACGCGGTAAGGATTTTTGGCTCCTGAGGACCGCGTTATATCGGGGTAGAGGTGTATTTGGAAGAACACAATGCCATTTATAAACAATTAACATTTTTGGAAGTACATTTCACAAGGTTACTTTTCCTTACTTAGGAAAAGAGATCTAGAGGAAGATATAGAAGATTGATCATGTATATAAGAATGCCTCTGGTCGGGAGATACTGATTCCATGATTTTAACTGTTTTTTAAAAAGATGGTATCTCTGGCTTCTGAGATATAGGGGATTTTGCATGCCGGTAGGTGGATGAGATACTGAAAAATTAAAGCACATTCACTGGGAACCTTGAAAGCTGCCAAGTTACAATCATCATTGGAGGCTAAAAGAGAACAGGAACTCTCAATTAGGAAGAGTTTGTCACAAAGTCATTTGATGGGGCACACAGATTCTGTAATTTCCCTGGGTTGTTAGTCTTTGCCCACGTTGGGAATCTGCCTCAATTCAAGCCATCGGTGGCTGGAATTGAAGCAAATTCCTGATGTAGACAAGTGCTTAGAAACAGTAATAAAGCTTATTTAAGTCAGTGCTGCTGCTGCTGTTGCCTTTGGCAAGGCTGAAAGCTGACAAAAAGGCAGTATTGGCCTTTGCCTGCACACTTACTATGGAGTTGACCTGACAGGCACAAGGATAGTAATTTTAAATGCCTTAAAACTACTAATTATATTTTATTAAATGGGTTAGAACAATTTTTGTTGAAAAATGAAGGCTACAGCGATAAAAGTAACAAGCCTCATGACTTCGACATTTTACTATAAATTCATTCTTTTTGCCGTTTTTTTCCTTACTATCAAGTTGATTTTTTTTACAGCTTATGACCAGGAGACAGTAACAAGATTTCATATAAGATTATTAATGTTAATCTTTGGGGGTTGCCATGAATACAAGCTGAACACATTATTTCAATGGAGTTAGGTGCCCAGATGTTTTGAAAACTTCAGTAGGTGCCTATCTGCATCTTTAGATGCCTAAATACCTTTGAAAATCTGGCCCTTGGTGACCATCAGTTTGTAGGAAGCGTATTCAGCACTCACTGACCAAATGTTCAAACTTGGGTACCTAATGATAGACTTCTAAATCCATATTTAAATATTTAATGCCAAAGAACCTGTTTTTCAGATCACCTGCAGATTCTACTGATTGCAAAGTCTTTTATTCTGCATATTACTGTGGGTTTGGATGGCATGACATAGTGTTTCCTGAGGGCCTTTATTACAACCTCTAATTTATACACTCACACCCACTTTTTCGTATGCCATCCAGCTTCAGGAAAATTCATCAAGCACGGAAACAGTCGGCACAGAGTATTCTCATACACATTTTCAAGGTAGTTAGTTTATTAAGCCCATAATCCACATGCAAAGCCGTGGACTGACCTGACCCAAATTTAGGTACCTCCCTTTAGGCACTCAAATTTAATCACAATGTTTACATCACCTCTAAAGGTTTCTAGTGGGTTTTACATAATGAGCGCCTCTCCCTGATGGAATAGCTTGCACACCTCACTGTATCTTCAGGTAATTGTCAAGTCAGTTAATTTTAATATCTGCATATCTCTGATTAATCAGAAATACTTGTTGTGCTTTTTACCTGCATACCAAGAACCAGAAATTCCTGGGTATCTGCATACACCAGCCCTTCATCTATCCAGTAGCATATTGGGGAGGACAGGCTGCAGAGACATTTGCATCTCACTGGATCTCTTACACTCTCCTTTCGAGTATGCTGAAAATATTCATTCTTCTCTACACAACTAGGAAAACAATGTATTAGCACAAAGAGAGTTTGTAAAAGATGTTTGCAGGTGGGCAGACCCACACATTAGAGGGTAACTAATGAATTATTTAATGACCTTTAACTTAGCAGCAGATCACACCAACCCAATTTTTTTTTTAAATATAGAGACATGCAATATTTTTAGAAATCTTTATATATACACATGCGCTAGAGCAGGGGACGGCAACCTTTCAGAAGTGGTGTGCCGAGTCTTCATTTATTCACTCTAATTTAAGGTTTCGCATGCCAGTAATACATTTTAATATTTTTAGAAGGTCTCTTTCTATAAGTCTATAATAAATAACTAAACTATTGTTGTATGTAAAGTAAATAAGGTTTTTAAAATGTTTAAGAAGCTTCATTTAACATTAAATTAAAATGCAGAGCCCCCCAGACCGGTGGCCAGGACCCAGGCAGTGTGAGTGCCACTGAAAATCAGCTCGTGTGCTGCCTTCGGCACGCGTGTCATAGGTTGCTCACCCCTGCTCTAGAGACTGCATGCTCAGCTACTGCATTCTGGGCATCTAATTTGCTGTTTATGCACGATGTAACAAGGACGAGCACCCTTTAGGTCATTTGGCATTCCTAGGTCCACAATGGACATTGTCAGCTTCCTCGTGGCAATATTCAGTACGAGGAGTCTCAATTCCCTTTGTTCTTGACTTGGTGCAGAAACTGCTAATTCACTCCTGACCAACCTCCTCAGCAATCAGAATCCATTACCCTCTGAGGTGGGCTGACAGCAATTAGCCCCAATTTAACAATCCCTGCTACATCCATTCCAGGCCATATTATAAAAGGCAAATTTTATTTTTTAAGTTCGCCTATTTTTAAAAATTTTATTAGCATATTATTAAAACACAAGAAAACAATTTAGTAAAAGTTAGCTAGTAGTTAAGCTCAGCCACACCTTAGACAGACATTGCTAAGTGGGCATTAAGCTGAAGTTACAATATATGGCAATATTAGCCATGGCAAGGCAGAAAAAGTATTTTAACTATTCCACAACTCTGGGGTGCTCTCAGGTCAGTGTTGCAGGAGTGTATGTATACAAAGCAGAAGCCCTTTATTTAGTCATAAATTTCAAGTTATTTCTGTGGCATATATCATAGTAGTATGTATTCTCTTTAGAAATGCTCTTCTATCCTTTGAAGGAGAGATGAAAGTTCTAGCCAGCCAACACACCATCGTGGGGTGATATCACTAGTGTGACAATAACACAATTATTTTTTCCTATTCGATAGCCCATTTGATTAAGTTAACTTTCAGTTCTAAACATAAAAACTCTTTTATATTGGCCTGTGTCAAAGTCCCATTTCCTTCCCAGTTTAAACAGATACTGGACGTACATTTAATTATGAAAAGAGATTCCTGCTGCTGAATTTCATGGATTACATGTCTCTGTGTTAAAAACAAATTTAGGGTTGGTGTGATCTCATGCTAAATTGAAGACTATTAGAAATTAATATTCCTAACACTGTGATGAATATAAACAATTAGTGTGGATCTGACCACCTGTGAACATCTTGTACAAACTCTTGCTTTCTATCACTGGGGCCTAATTCAGACAATAACAGCTGAAATGTGGGATCACTGTTTTTTTTAAACTGACACCATTTGTGCTTTATGTCAGATGTTGTATCTAGAAATATGAGGAAAGTACATTAATGTACAATAAAATGCCATTGCCTTGTACCGGCAAACAAATAATTTACAGAACATTTGGCTCAAGTCATTCAGAAATTGCATTATATGACACTGATCCATTTATTAGATTCACTATCATTCTAGATCTGGGATGTACTCAAGACAGACTCATTTGACAACATTATATTTTATTACTTTCAGTGTTACAATGAAAGCTGGTCAAAAAGTGGAATTTCTGTCCTGTGGGAAATTCTAATCTTTTGACATTTGTTTGCATTCCAAATTGGAACAAAAATTTGAAATTCCCCCCAAAATGTATTTGGAAACATTGAAAGATTTCATTCTGACAAAGTATAAAATAATATTAAACATTAAATATAATATATAAATTAAATATATATATGAATATACATATAAATCAATAATAAAATTGAAACAATTCATTTAAATATGGTAAAAATGTTAAGTCAAAACAATTCATTTAAACACTTTTCCATCAAAAATGTGGCCAAAATCAACATTCCCACAAAAAGTTTCCATTTCAACAAAACTCCATTTTCAGATGGAAAACTGTTCCACTGAAAAAATTTCAACCAGTTCTAGTGATGACTGTTATCTCATATTGCAAAAAGCCTTTGAAAATAATGATTTAAAAATTCAGCATTAGCAACCTGACTCTCTTGAGAGTATTTCTAACTAAAGTAGCAGTGTGCTTACTGAGGAAAAGAAAATAGGAATAATAATAGTCAATGCTACTTAATGGCACATATCCACCATTAGTTTAGGTGACTCCCATGCAAGGCAACCTTTAATGTAATTACTAACATGAACAAAGCCAGCTGAAGTTAAATTTGGGCTCTTCTTTCTCTTTAATAATCCCAAGATGTGCAGTTTCCTTACTGAACCAAGGCTAATACCTTTGTCAGTGTCCTGATCATTTCCTGCCTTAACTGTTGTAACTTTCTCTTCTCTGGTTTCACTGTCTCTCATTGGCTCCAATCTGTCCAAAATGTCACTGTTAAACCAACCTTCCGCTCCTGCCATTGTGACCATTTCATCTCCCTCCCGCAATTCTTCCACTGACTTCCCATCTCTTACCACTACAAATTCAAATTCCTTGGCCTTACCTTGAAGGCCCCACTTATCATCTTGCTCCCTCCTTTATTACTGCTCTCATTTTCCCTAGCTCCATCCCACTCCCTATACTCATCCCAATCTTTTCACTTTATTCCTCAGATGCTCTCTTTTTCCCATTCTTGTTTTCGTACTGTCTTACAGACTACTCCATTCTCTTTCCTTGTTCCTATCCACCAGACAACACCTCTTGTTGCCTTATTGATTTTCTTCTGAACTATGTGTCATTTTATTTTGACTGTAAGCTGTATGGGGCAGGAAGCATGTATTATCTACCTTTATAAATTAGTGATGCTATCTAATTTTTAAAAATTCATTAATATACAACTAGTTCAGAAAATAAAGAATGAATCAGAAAATAACCTTTTCTGCTGCTAAAGCAACAAAAACCCATCAGCAAATTAAGGAAACTCACGAGGCTAAGGGGTGTTTTCTGTTTAAGTGCTGGTGTATTTCTTCAATAGTCCACACTGCTGCCCTACATGCAGGATCAGTTCTGAAATAAAAAATACCCCGGTGTGAAAATTTTAATGGGAGAATACATCTGGGGTGTGAATGTTCTTATGAGTTAATTGCAACAGTAACATATCTTTATTCCAGGGAAATGATTGAAAAGCCAATATTCCGGAATTGTAAATGAGCAATGAAGAAGATGAGAGAGAGTTAGAGAAACCAGTGTAATGTACTTGTTTCCCATAAATCTTTGAATATGCCTTTTGTGCCAAAAAGTTGGGCTGAGATCCAAAGCAGACCTAGTTATAAATATTGAAGTTCTCTCTTAGTTTGTAAGGAGGTAAAACTCTCTTTCGAGCCAAAGGAAGTTTTGTGTTAGTAATACATCTGGTCAGAAAATATCACACAGGTTGAAATTTCAATGAAAAATTGGTATTTCCCATTTTCCCACCATTTCTACTGAGGAAGATCTGAGGATCTGGTCCACAGAAGTTAGAGACTATGACTCCAATGCATAAATGGGATCTTAAATTCTTTCCTGAACGGGTACTAGAGTTAATCTAATCCACCTCCTGTCAATGCAGGATTGTTCCTTATATGTGGGTGTATACAATTGGAGGCTTTACCCCCCCCCCCAAATGTAGGGACTGCATTAATAAAGGAAACACTTAGTCTGGAACAGGAACTACATCTTCTTCCCTCCCCACTTCACCCCATAATAAAAGTTGTCTACACCCCTGTGGTACATTCTTTAGTACTCTGCCCAAATATCTCAAAATTTAAAAGGTCCTGCTACAAGGAAGTTTCTCCTCCTTAATTTCCTTTTATTACTCCTAGTGACCCCTCCCTTATGCCACCCTAAATAATTCCTCTTCTTCCTTGGTGTTTGTATACTACAATTGTCAACATTTATCACTGTTAATGGTTTGGGAAATCATGTGATTTGGCTAGTACAACATGGATGATGAGAATACCTAACCCATACATCGCTCTTTATATTTTCAAAGCGCTACACCTGGGTTTGTCAGCCATCCCAGAACCGTCCCTGGCGTCTCAAGTAATCTGCAAATGGGAAGATTATTAGGTAATGTTTTCAGAGCCCAGGAAGCAAATTAGCTATTGCTGCACCAGAACAATCTCTGAGTATTAGTATTTAATAGGGTTGTTGATTAATCATAGTTAACTCACGCTCGTTAAAAAAATAATGTGTTAATTAAATTTGTGACTGAACTCGTTGGGGGAGAATTGTATGTCTCCTGCTCTGTTTTACCCACATTCTGCCATATATTTCATGTTATAGCAGTCTCGGATGATGACCCCGTTCATGTTGTTCATTTAAAGAACATTTTCACTGCAAATTTGACAAAATGCAAAGAAGGTACCAATGTGAAATTTCTAAAGATAGCTACAGCACTCAACCCAAGACTTAAGAATCTGAAGTTCCTTCCAAAATCTGAGAGGGATGAGGTATGGAGCTTGCTTTCAGAAGTCTTAAAAGAGCAACACTCTGATGAGGAAACTACAGAACCCAAACCAACAAAAAAGAAAATCAACCTTCTGCTGGTGACATCTGACTCAGATGATTAAAATGAACATGCGTCAGTTTGCACTGCTTTAGATCGTTATCAAGCAGAACCCATCATCGGCATGGATGCATGTCCTCTGGAATGGTGGTTGAAGCATCAAGGGACATATGAATCTTTAGCACATCTGGCATGTAAATAGCTTGTGATGTTGGCTACAACAATGCCATGCAAGTGCTGGTTCTCACTTTCAGGTGACATTATAAACAAGAAGCAGGCAGCATTATCTTCTGCAAATGTAAACAAACTTGCTTGCCTGAGCGATTGGCTGAACAAGAAGTAGGCCTGATTAGACTTATAGGCTCTAAAGTTTTACATTGTTTTATTTTTGAATGCAGGGGGGTTTTGTACATAATTCTACATTTGTAAATTGCACTTTCATGAAAAAGAGATTGCATTATAGTACTTGTATTAGGTGAATGTTTTCCCACAGCACAATCCCCTTCCACCACAAGTCTAGTTTAAGTATCACTCCAGATAGGTTCAGGAATGGAGTGGCAGTACTATAGGTCACAACTGAAATGGACAGACAGAGGACTAAGCAGCTCCACTCTCAGGGAGGCGATGGCCTCTTGCCATCCCTGGCCGACATGGAATCCATACCCTATGCCTTGAACACTTATTCCAGCACAAAAAAGAATAAGGACACAAATTATATATTGATGCACAAAGTCATCGACCTGCTACGTAACAGGACGCAAGGCTAGATCTGCACCGTTTTGTGTGCGATCCCGTTGATTCAAAAATAAAACCCAAACTCTCTTATAGGAGTTTTCATTCTACTGGAATCATTCTAGAAACCGAAGTCTTCCTGAGTGACTCAGCCAAGTTAATTTCTCCGTGCCGCAGTTCCCCATCTATAAAATGGCAATATTAAACTTCCTTCCCACCCCCCTCCTTTGTCTGTTTTCTCTATTTGGATTGTAAACTCTTCAGGGCATGGAATGGCAAACTACATATGTACAGAACCTAGCACAATAAGGTGCTAAGCTCCACTGGGGCCTCTAGCTGCTACTGTAATACAAACAATACATAAGAAAAAGTATCTTGTACTAAATACTACTGAAGGGGAAATGTCATGATGCCCGGAAGTATCAGACCTATTCTGTGTATGTAGTTCTTGGTTTTAAATATTATGGAAATGCAGCTTTTAAAATGCAAAGAGACTGATGATTGCACAATGAGACACCCTGTATCTCTATAATCAGTAGTATGCAACACCTAGTCACTGAGCTGTGGGGAGAGCTGCAAAATAACAAGCTATCTCCCACTCATCTAATCACAAAGATAGAGAAAGGAGCAGAATAGTCAGGTTTGGCCAAGTGTGCTAGAATCTCAGGCATAAGCAAATTAATGTCTGCAATGAAGGAACAATGATTAATGTCCGTATCTCTGTCCCTGCTCATCTATTAAATCAGGATAATGTGCCGGTTCTTACTGAACATACAGTGCTATGAATCGCAAAATTAACATGTCATTTAGTCACATAAATCTATGATGGGACTCCTTTATTGGGTCTGGATTTCATAACCTTCAGCAGCAAAGGGATTATTATAAAAGCCCTCCCACTGATGCTGGAAATGCAGGGAGGGAGAATAACTCTAATTCATCTATTGCCCACATGGAGCACTGTCCCACCATTGTGATGCTGTATGGATTCCGGGGAACGCTTGAAGATATTATGAATATTAATATTGTAAAATTGCAATGAGTTGTGGCAGATATGCCATGTAAGATATCTGCAAAAATGTTATAGTTTGCCAAATATGATAATCTCATTTATGTGTTTGTAGCACATTTGTATATTGGGTTATAGATACGTATCTATGTACATATTACAAAACTTGTGCTAAGCTTCTGGGTGACACCCGCAAACAGTTTGGCATCACCTCTGCCTCGCCTGCTTGACGGCCCATTAAGGACCATCAGCTATTCAATTGACCCATTGAGAGAAGGCAGAGGATACAGACTCAGCAAGGCATGCCTGGGCATGCCTATGGACAGAAAAGGCTTCCAAGCCATGTGCTGGGTAGCTTGTGTTGGAAACAAAGGAAGCACAGGTCGCATGGCAAAAGACTATATAAGGCAGCTGCATCTTCTCCATTTTGTCTTCAATCCTGCTTCTTACCTCTGGAGAACTTTGCTACAAACTAAAGCTCTAAATAAAGGACTGAATGACCCATCCAAACTGTGGATGTATTCCAGAGGGACTTTCAAGCCAGCAAACCACCAGTACAGCTAGGAACCTGATATATGGACTTTGAAGTTTTTGTATGTATGTGACTGTGTTACCACATAACATTTCTCTTCTTCTTATTTCTTTTCCTTGATAATAAACCTTTAGTTTTAGACACTAAAGGATTGGCTACAGCGCGGCTGGTACTTCACCTCGGCGAGTGGAATAACGTTTGTTGCACCTTGGCTACAACGCCCGGGCGTCAGTGTGAACAAGGTGTTGCGTTACTGTGCTCTGATTGGCCTCTGGAAACGTCCCATAATCCCCTTAAGTCAAATGGCCACTCTTGTAATTGTTTTGAACTCCTGTAGGCATGCGGAAATGCCCTTTCAAAGCTTCGTTTCTGACAGCCGGCATGCAAGCATGGGAATGCTGTGTGTGAGAGAGAGAGGCGGGGGGAGGGGGAGGTCTGCTGCTGTCTGAACTTACAAGACAGCATGCTGACATGCTCTCAGCCCCCCCAAAACCCACTCTCCCCCCCCAAACACAACACACTTCCTGTCACACTCCACCCACCCCTCCCATTTTAAAAGCACTTTGCAGTCATTTGCATGCTGGGATAGCTGCCCATAATGCACCACTCCCAATGCTGCTGCAAGTGCCGCAAATGTGACCACGCCAGTGCACTTGAAGCTGTCAGTGTGGACAGATTGCAGTGCTTTCCCTACTGCGCTCTACAAAGGCTGGTTTAACTCAAAGCGCTCTACATCTGCAAATGTAGCCATGCCCTCTGTCAAGGGCAGCCTACTTAACAAGTATTTAGGATAGCTACCTGGGTATCCTCAATCACCAATTAAAACTGTGACAAATTCCTTAAACTGGTTCTAGCTAGCAGGGAAATTACTTTGGTGACTGTTTTTAAAAAAAAAGTTTAATTCGTCTCCTTTTATAATGCACCCAATGTTTATAGTTAAAAACCTCCAGACTATATATAAATTGTAATTACAAGATACCAACAATAAACTTAGCATCATAGGCTTCTTTTGGTCCTGTTGTTATTAAAGATCACATTGCACTGTTCTCAAGAATAGGATTGTTAACCTTGGTGTCCTAGCCACATTCTGGCTAAGGTTCTACTGACCTAAATTCCCTTCAGAGTTTCAGCTGAATATATTATCCTTTTTCATTTCCTGCCCTAAATTACCACACAATGTTGTTTTTGAGGTTATAGGGTTCTGCTCTTCACGTTAGATCAGGGGTTCTCAAACTGGGGGTCGGGACCCCTCAGGGGGGTCACGAGATTATTACATCGGGGGGGGGGGTTGCAAACTGTTAGGCTCCACCCCAAACCCCGCTTTGCCTCCAGCATTTATAATGGTATTAAATATATTTAAAAGTGTTTTTAATTTATAAGAGGCGGTCGCACTCAGAGGCTTGCTGTGTGAAAGGGGTCACCAGTACAAAAGTTTGAGAACCACCGCCTTAAATGGTGGATGAAATGATGTCTGTGTGTTTTAAGCTTATAAAACCCTTTGCAACTTTCATGCCCAAAGATCCCAATAGAAATGTCAGACTGTTATAATTTATCTTGTAGGAGACCGGCAAATTTGTTTTCAGTTGAGAGTGTCCATTCCTTAAAACCCCCCACTTCATCACAAAATCAGAGACCTGGTCTCCTGTATGCTTCAAAATGCCTGCATGCCAGTTGTTCAACTCACCCAATTGGCAGGGATAAACATTTCCAAAGTATTAATCCAAACTGATCATTGGGCATTAAGGGCGGATAAACCTATAAATCGCTTGGCTGATATTTTAATTGAAATTTTGCAACTGGCTGAGCACATTGTTGGAAGCAATGATTTCCTGGCCAGAGTTAAGATGCCACAACAATAGGCCTCAGAGTTGAAAGGGGAGCGAGGGCTTAATGCGGTGGGGAAAGAAAGCACAAACAACAGCTCCATTCTATATTGTGATAATAAGTCAGGCCTACAGTTTCTGCCTTAAGTGTGGTCTCTTCCACATTTTGCTCATTGGAGATTTAAAGTAGATGATGGATTTGTCTGTCTCTGTCTCCAGGGTTTGCCTGGCCTCAGATTATTATGGTCTGCTATTTAGTCAGCTCCAAATACAAAGTGAAAAGTAGCAGAAAAATCACTTTATTAATTAAAATTACATAGGAAACAAATTTATGGAGACGTTTATTAATTGAAATCCATAGGCTATCTGGTAATGCTGCCTGTTTTGTCCCTTCAAATGACGAAAATGGAGTACAGTCACTAGTAATGAAAAGACCAAATTTTGAGGGAGATAAGAATGGGGTAAATGGGGAGGCAAAAGCAAACAAGCCAACTTTTTAGCTTGCCTCAAGCCAGCTTCAGGTTTTGCAAGACATTAATTGAAACAATTTATATTTAAAAACGCTCACACAAGTATTTGCACCTGGTCAGGCTGGTTATGCAAATGAATCTCTCTTTACTGTTCCCTTCTCCCTCACACGGCTCCAACACTGTTTTGCTGTTTATTTGCCTATGGCATCTTGACACAATCCTTGATTATAAGAAGAACAGGAGTACTTGTGGTACCTTAGAGACTAACAAATTTATTTGAGCATAAGCTTTCGTGGGCTACAGCCCACTTCTTCGGATGCATAGAATGGAACACACAGAAAGAAGATATTTATACATACAGAGAACATGAAAAGGTGGAAGTGGACTTCTGTAGGTATAAATATCTTCTTTCCACCTGTTCTATGCTGGCGGGAGAGAGCTCTCCTTACGGCATAATTAAACCACCCCTAACGAGCGGCGGTAGCTATATTGTCAGGAGAGTGTCTCCCACCGACACAGAGCTGTTCACACGAGTTTTGTCGGTGAAACTTATGTCAATCAAGGGTATGCTTTTTCACCCCCTGACCGACAAAAAGTTTGCTGACAAAAGTGCTAGTGTGGTCATAGCCTAAGTTATAATCAAGGCAGGCAGGGGAAGCAGCATCATTAGAAAGGAGGAAAACGTATATTACACATAAATGACTTAGTTTTCAAGCAGTGGTAGGAAGGGAAACACAGGGATAGTGCACTACATCCCCTTTATAGTGAAATCATGGCTTTTACAGAATAATTTCTCTGTAAAATGAGGTTCACACTAACAGGAATTACAACACATTTAAAGAAGTTGAGGCTTTCATACTAATTCACCAGAAACAGGTTTTGCTGATAAGGAAATGGATCTGTGGGAGAAAAAGAATTCTTGCAAACTTTTTCAGAGATGAAGCAGCAGTGTGGACAAGACTTGAAGCCAGGAACTCCCATATTACAATCCCAACACTGATAATTATGCCCCGTTGCAGGCTACATCTAGACCATGCCGCCACTTGCTGCTACCTGTGCTTCCCCAGCTAGACTGCTATTTTTAGTGCACTAGCTTGAGCAGTGCTAGAGTAAGTACGTCTACACAGGCTGGGAATCTCATCCCCAGGTCCAAATGTAGGTGTAGCCTCAGTGTCTCCCTCTGTGGGGGTGTTTCTAGTTACCTATCTCACAGGGGACTGTCAGGATTAAGTAGTTGTTGTAAGTACAGTGCTTCAAATATTAAGAAAGGCTATTTTTATGATTAATGGATGGGGAGTTGGGAAATCTGGGTTCTATAAGCAGCTCTGCCAGACTTTCTGTGTGACCTGTCTAGTCACTTCGCCTCTTTGGGCCTCACTTTTGCCATCTGGAAAACGGGCAGTAATAATACCTACCCAATATTCATTAATATTAAGATTTGTAAAACACTTTGAACATTTTCCAGAATACATTCTCTCTCTTCACCTAATACCAAAACATCCTACCCATCCATTGTAATGAAAAGAAAACAAACAAAAAAAACAAATACAACAGAGTGAGAAAAGTAGGCAATGAAGACAGGCTAGAAAGCAGTAAATGCTTAGCAAAATGGATGTAGTACCTTGCTGTGTAGACCCATATATCCCAAGAAGTCAGGAGGAAGTAAATTGTTCCACTGGTTCGATTATAGGCAAAGCCGAGAACTGACTGGAGTGGAGAGGGATAGGGAGGCGGCAGCACGGTACATAACTTTGTCCCATTATGCAGAGAGAAAATTCGTAAACTTAGGAAAGAAAAACAGAAGAAAGTAGTAAAGGGAGAAGGTTAATGCAGCGTTGTTGTTTAATCAAGACACAGGGATGACACTTCAATTCATCCTCCCACAGTAACTTTAATGTTCCATGCAAACATCCCCTTTTAAATGGATGGGCCCTGTTATTTTAAAGTGAAAAATACAATGATTTTTCCACTCACTCTATGTTAAAAGCTCTCATAAGGTAATGCACTTCAATGGAGTTAAAAGTTGTGGTGCTATTTTTTCCAGTAATGCCAACATCTGAACGCTATAAACATGGGCAGGTATGCTGTTCTGCTCAGTTTGCACAATCTGGAGGTCTAAACAGGACACGGATACTTTTTTTCCTGTGTGCGCAATTTTCATTAAGAATGTCGCACAGGTATTTATTTTGACTAATATAACCTAAATCTCAGAAATACTGGAAGTTTGTAACTCATATTGAGTCAAGCAAGCAGATATCTTCTCTATTTGATTAGTTTGTTACTTTACAGTTTTAACAGATGGCAGCTAAAACCCTTTCATATGGCTGAATGTGGTGTTTATTAATACACACACCTTACCGTTTTTCTATTGCAAGTTTATTACTACCAGTAGAGAGATCCAACCAAAAACCCGGACCTGAACCACCTCAAACTTTCATTAGCACATGTAGTCACACATACCTGTTATCAGAGCCCATAGCTATCACCCTGCTGGATTTCCCATTGGCACCACAGAGGGACAGAGCCTTAATCTGACTGCTGACACGAGTCCAGAATTTGGTAAAATTGTTCAAGTCATACACATGAAGATTGCGGGCAGAAGAGCAGTACAGCAACTTATCCTCAGTCAGGCCCATCCAAACAATTCCTTCAGTGAACAATGATAAACTAAACAAAAGATAAAATCCCCACAAGCCAAAGAAAATCATGAATTAAAGTAAATCAGCAGCAAGTTACATCAATTACATTAGAGTCCAAGTTAAATTATATCGGACATTTTTCAATGTTGACCATGTTCAGCTAAAAAGAATTCTTTACGCCATTCACTCAAATTCTGACAATTCCCTGGGGAACTCAGGGGGAAAAAAACCCTGTAACCAGTTCCAATCAACACTGACTGGATTAGTGATCTTGGTGAATCTGTTTGCATGCCACAAAGATATGGAACGACCATATACTTGTATAATAAGTAAATACTGTGCTAATTCCTGTAGATTACATAAAAATGTTACTGGAAATTGTAATACTCAAGAGGAAACAACCTCCATTTCTAGATCTTATGATAGCCCTTTAGAAGTTAGTAAAAATGATGTATCTTATTGAATCACTTACCACAGGGATCGGCAACCTTTGGCACACGGCCCATCAGGGAAATCCACTGACGGGCCGGGACGGTTTGTTTACCTGCTGCGTCCGCAGGTTCGGCCGATCGCTGTTCCAACTGGCTGCGGTTCACCGTTCCAGGCCAATGGGAGCTGCGGGAAGCGGCGCGGGCCAAGGGATGTGCTGGCCACCGCTTCCTGCAGCCCCCATTGGCCTGGAATGGCGAACTGCGGCCAGTGAGAGCTGCGATCAGCCAAACTTGCGGACGCAGCAGGTAAACAAACCGTCCCGGCCCGCCAGCAGATTTCCCTGATGGGCCGCATGCCAAAGGTTGCCGATCCCTGACTTCAAGTCATTGATGTGAAGGTCTCCTTAAAAATCAGTTATATGGTATGGGGCCATGCAATTACAGGGCCAGTACCTCAAAGCAGATTCAGAGCTGTATAAATTATTTATGCCTTGGGAAAAGCCACACTTCTAACATTTTTTAAGAGGTAAAGATTTATTTATTCATAACCGTACAACAAAATAGAAGCCCATGAACTGTACACCTTATTTTTTCTTTATAAATTAAACACTTCTTGCACACCGTAGCTCTTGTATAAATACTCATAGAATTTTAGTAGAACTCACTATTAAAGGGGAACTGTCCCTTTAATGAATAAGGCCCTGCGCTGCAAATTCTTATGCATGTGTTTAACTTTACTCACCAAATGACTTTTTGTTTTGAATTTTCCATCAATTGTATTTTAAAAAATTCAAAAGTATTAAACGCTCGAAATCTAAACAAAACATTTTGGTTTGGGTTTCACCCAAATTGCTAGTGAACTGAAAAATCCATTATTTGCACAGCTCTAAACAGAAGCTGTGCTGAAGAAATCTTCACAATCTAATGAGATGAGAATAGCTGAGATACATAACTTTCTATTTAGCAGGGTTTCTTGGCTTATGGTCAGAGCACCTGGTCTTAGATCTTCAAAGATCTTTAAGGTGCTTAACTCCCACTGAAATCAAATCCATTAGAGTTAACTGCTTAAATACCTTTGAGGATCTGGGCCCTGATGCTATGAGATGATGAGCACCTCCTGCAAGTTGTTGAGTACCCTCAACTCCTCACAGGTTCAGCCCGAAAAGAATTGGAGAATAGAGACAAACTACAGCAATATCCTTAGAGGCATATAATCTACAAAGATATTTATCTTACTCCTTAAAGATTCACTATTTATCCTTTAAAAAGAACAGGAGTACTTGTGGCACCTTAGAGACTAACAAATTTATTAGAGAATAATTTGTTAGTCTCTAAGGTGCCACA